CCCCCCCCACACACACACACACCATACCTTGGGCCTTTTTCTCTGAGGAAGACCAGTCTGAAAGTAGGTTCTATCCTCACAGAATAGAGGGCTGGTATTAGTTTTCAGTCTCTACTAGGACCAGTGGAGTGCTTTTAGGCCAGCTGCATCAAAGCATACCAACTGACTGGAGGAAAATCCTTTTCTGAAAAGTACCCAGGTCACTAGATGTCTGGTTCAGCTATGCTGAGGCACCTGTGCATGGGTCTGTCTTAACTACCACCTGTGAGGACAATCAATGAGCTATCTTCGCCCTTTCCAGACAGGCAAATTCTATTTTCCTGGCTGATTATATCAAATGTTATTTCAGAAATTAAAGAGAGTTCAAGACCATGGGTGTGTGTCTTACTTTCTTAGTTCTACTATAACAAATATCTGAGTGGCTTTAACAAACAGGTTAGGAGGATAGAAGTCTGAACTCAGGACACTGGCTCTAAAGGAAGGCTTTCTCTTTCTAGTGGCATGAGAGAAGACTGTTGTGTCTTTTCAGCTTCCATTTCTTGGTTAAGGAGACCTGGAAGTGCTACGGTTAAGCATTTGGCTGCTAACCAAAAGGTCAGTGGTTCAAACCCACTCAGCAGCACTTTGGGAGAAACATCAGGTGATCTGTTTCTGTAAAGATTACAGACAACAACAACAACAAAAAAAAAAACCACCCAAAACCCACCACCACAACAAAAACACTGTGGGACAGTTATACTCTGTCACATTAGGTTGAGTCAGAATAGACTCCACCATGCCTTACAACAACACTCCTATGGTCCTTGGTGATCGCCATGTGGCTGCCATCCATCTCCCCCATCTGTGCTTGCTTGCCTCTGTGCCTCATCTGCTCCTTTTATATCTTAAAAGTGATTGGTTTAGGACACCCAATACTGATATGGTGTCATTAACATAGCAAAGAAAACCCTATTCCAAAATGGGATTATATTCACATGTATAAACCAAACCCATGCCCGTGGAGGCAATTCCTACTCATAGTGGACCCTATGGGACAGAGTAGAATTACCCCATAGGTTTTCCAAGGCTATAATTTTTATGGAAGCAGATTGCCACATCTTTCTCCCACAGAGCTGCTGGTGTCTTTGAACTCATGACCTTTTGATCAGCAGCCAAGTGCTTACCTAATGTACTACCAGTGCTCTATCCACATGTAATAGGGGTTAGGATTCTAACACCTATTTTGGGGGACATAAATCCATAACTGTGTGTTGGGGAAACCTTTTTAGGGCTTCTTTCTTATGTTGATCCATGGAAGCAGCCAGTACTACTGTCAAGATCAGGAGACATAGGAGACTCCATTCCTTGTCATTGTAGGTAAGTAGACTCAAGAAACTCTTTCCCTCAATAGAATTTGGGTAAAGTGATCATTCATTCATTTATTCTTTTATGTGCACATTCTTTCCGGCATGGATTCTACACACATTCATTGAATAAGACACTGAGGATTTAAAGATGAATAAGACAAAGACTTTGCCTTCAAGGAACTAATAGTTTAGTGCAGGAGGGAGATAGGCATGGAAAGACTATGTTATTGTTAGCTGCTGTCAAGTTGGCGCCTAACTCATGGCCACCCCATGCACAACAGCATGAAATACTGCCTAGCCCTGTGCCATCAATGTGATCAGTTGCGGATGGCACCATTGGGGCCCACAGGGTTTTTGTCGTCTGATTTCCAGAAGTAGAGTGCCAGGCCTTTCTTCACAGTCAGTCTTTGTCTAGAAGCTCTGCTGAAATCTCTTCTGCAACTTAGCAACATGCAAGTTTCTACTGACTGATGGGAGTGGGCTACGCAGGAGGTACACTGGCTGGAAATGGAACCCCAGTCTCCCATATGGAAGGCAAGAATTCTACCACTGAACCACCACTTCCGCCACATAGACCGGCTATGTTGTTGTGTGCTGTTGAGTCAATCTTGGCTCATAGCAACCAGAAATAACAGAGCAGAAATGCCCCATAGGGTTTCCTAGTTAGAAATCTTTATAGGAGCACATCGCTAGGTCTTTTCTCCCTCAGAGCTGCTAGTGGGTCTGAACTGTCAGCTTTCTGGTTAATAGCCTAGCACTTAACCATTGTACAACTAGGGTTCCTTAGATAAGCTATAGTAATAGATATGTAGTTGATATATATATATATATAGTCCCCCACTAGCCACCCCTGGGAAGGAAGACTGGGTAATCTGCTTCCATAGAGATACTGCCTCAGAAACCAAGGAGGGTTTGCTATGAGTCAGATCCGACTCCACGGCAATGAGTATATATAGTTTATATATATATTTAGTTAATATACATAGTTTACATATATATATTTAGTTAATACATATAGTTTATGTACATATATATTTAGTTATTATATATAGTTTACATATATATACATTAAGTTCATATAAACTTTATATATATATATATATATATATACATATAAGTTTATAGTAGCATATATAAACTGTATATATAAACATACATAAACTTTATAGTTACAAATAGCTCTGATGGAGAAAGATATGACCATCTGCTTCTGTAATGATTACAGCCTTGGAAACCCTGCAGGGTCGCTATGGGTCAGAATCAACTCCACAGCAATGCGTTTTGGTTTAGTAATCTATAACATGCTATAATGTCACTTATTTACATTTATGGATTTTCTAAAAGGTGGGACGTGAGGGAGATGTCTGTGTGTATGTGCATGTGCTTCTGTATAAACACATAAGGTCTCTATTGTTTCTGAAACTCAACCAGACACCCTACGGCATGAAAAGCATTAGACAGAAGAAAGAGAAATGAACCAGGTCACTTCATTGTCCTGAGGGAAGCTGTGATTATGTAGGAAAGTCAACATTCATGAATAATCATTGAATGGAATATTCATTGGAAAGATAAGCAGTTTGATGTTTCGTGGTGTTGATTACAAAGGTGGGTCAGGATTTAAGGATGGAGCAGTATGTAACAAGATGAGACGTTTAGCCAGGTCTGGTTCTTGTCACTAGCTGACTAGGTCACCCACCCAGTCATATATCAGAGTCAAAGAATCATTGGATTTAAGAGTTGGAAGAGAGGCTGGCATGAAAGAATGGTTGAGAGTCAATGTACTATTGAACTAGACAATGTTGCAGTCAAGCAAAAGGTTAGACTCAAAGACTAACTGCCAGTCACTGCACGCTTGTAGACCATTCGGTCTGTTCAGCTGGATATGTTTCCTCTCAGCTTTCAATCTCAACCTCCAGTTCCCCTCAAGCTTTTGAATGCATAGAGTTCTGAGAAATCTACTGGATACAGCACTCTTCTCTGCCTCTGGGGTCATTTGCTATCACTTTTTAAAGCTTTATGATAATAGAGCTTTTAACATTTAGAGCCTTTGACAAGAGGACCAAGATGGACCAGAACAAGATGGCCAAGGCCTTGGACTAATCATCTGAAAAAGGGGGAGGTCATTCAGATTCACTGGGAACATTTGGCATGTCAATGTTAGCCCTGCTTACCTCTGAAATATTGATCCGGCCCTCCTGGAAGGAGCAGGTGGTGGGGTCATGAGTGCAGAGGTTGCGGTACTTGCACCAATGGCACCGGAAGGCGCTGTTGACGCAGGACAGGCAGCTGCAAGGAGGGAGACAGTAAGAGGCAACAAGAAGGGGGCAGGGAGAGAAGATAAGGGCAGGTCAGAGAGTTTAGGTTTTCTAATGGAAATCTGTTACCTTGTGTTTGAATTCTAGTATCACCCTCAGGAGGGCAGAGAATTATGCATTCTTCATCCAAGATGTTCGTGCGACCAGAAAATTAGAAGGAAAAGAAGGCCAGAGTGGGAATAAAGAAATTTATAAAGTAGTGTTGTGCTGGCACTGGCTTGTTACCAGTTCCTGATAGCCAATGACTGTGTTTTGAAGGATTTTGCAAGCTGGTTAAGATCATGTTGGTGGCCTGAAATTGGCCAAGCCCTGGTGAGGCAGCGGTTAAAGTGGTTGGCTGCTAACCAAAAGATTGGTGGACTGGTGGTTCAAACCCACCAGCTGTTCCGTGGGAGGAAGATGTGGCAGTCTGCTTCCATAAAGATTACATCCTTGGAAACTCCATGAGGCAGTTCTACCCTGTCCTATAGGGTTGCTATGAGTCAGAATCAATCAATGACAGTAGGTTTGTTTTTTTCTTTTTTTTGAGCAGGGGCAATATTTATACCATAGAAATTGGCAAATCCTATAAACCTTTTCTTTTTTCCTTCAAGGCAGGTAGTTAAACCTTTACCAGCATACTACTGCCTATAAAACAGTGCCCAAAAGAATACAGGGATAGGAATGGAGTAAATCCAGTTCCAATCTTGCCTCTGCCACTGCCAGGAGGGTCACCCTGTGTAAGTTACTTCACTTTCTGAACTGAAGTTTCTCTGTCTGTTGAACAGGGTTAATAAAACATTCCTGTCTACTTCACAGTGGTGTTTAGTGTCAAACAAGATAATATATAGGAAATGGCTTTGAAAAGCACAATGCTAAATGTGAATATTATTTTCAAGCACTTAACCAGAAAACCAAACATGTTGCTGTCAAGTCGATTTTAACTCACAGTGACCTTATGGGACAGCAGCTAACAACAATAACACCCACCCACTGCCATAAAGTTGATTCTGACTCACAGCGACCCAATAGGACAGTGTAGAACCACCCCATACGGTTTCCAAGGCTGTAAATCTTTATGAAAGCAGACTGCCTCATCTTTCTCCCATGGAGCAGCTGGTGGGTTTGACCTGCTGATCTTTTGGTTAGCAGAAAAGAGCTTAACCACTGCATCATCAGGGCTTCTACAAGCATTTAAATTACCTATTATTTCAAGCTGTTAAATGACATTTGAGTGTTAACAATTGGTTCATATCACCTGTGTTATTAGGCATTACATGGTAACTGTTGTATGACTCTCCAAGTAGCTCAGGAACGGAACAACTGGATGTGTGTGTGTGTGTGTGTGCGCGTGCGCGCACGCACGCATGGCACCTGCCTTCCTGGGCCTTCTTGCCAGAGTGCACCTCTCTTCCTTGTTTCACCCGGAGACTGTGTATATTATTTTGCCTTTCTGTGGGTGATCAGACCATTATAATGGAGATGGGTTTGCTGATGGAGTTACTTCTTTTTCTTGACAGCTCCCCTAGTCTAGCTTTTCACACCGAAGCAACCTGCAAGAAACCAGGACTGGGTCTACAATCTGGCGCCACCTAGTGGTGTTCTGATTACATTTGGGGGGATGTGATTGCGGTTCACTGGCCTGGATCCAGGGGTCACTGGCTAATATTCCATAGTGTATTAGGTGGATTAGCCCATCTACACTTCATCTTCCCCGCGCTGACACTTTTTATTCCTTTTTGAGTGTGCCGAAATTTACTTAATATCTGAACTTAAGCCAATGCTCTTTGTGTACTCCCAGATCTGAATGGATCTTGCTAATTACAATATGATCTAGCAAGTAAACTGAATCACTGAGTGATGCAAATTATTAACATGCTCAGCTGCTAGCTGAAAGGTTGGAGGTCTGGGCAATCTACTTCTGTAGTGATACTGCCTCGGCAACCCAAGGAGGGGTCGCTGTGAGTCGGGTCCAACTCGATGGCACGTAACAACAACAACCACCACCTCCGAAGAAAGACCTGGTGACTTACTTCTGAAAAACCAACCAATGAAAATCCTATGGACCACAGTTACAGTCTGACACACATGGCATCACCATGAGTTGTAAATAGACTTGATAGCAAATGGTTAGCTAGTAAATAATAAAAATGGACCAAGGACCGGGAGATTGGGGCTCTAGAACTTGCTCTTCCAGTGGCTAATTTTATGACATTTGTTGCAGCACTTATCTTCTGAGGGCCTCAGTTTCCCATATCAAAAGAAAGAGATTGAACTCGATTCTGCAACTTTTAACAATGTGTGCCAGTAGAAAAGGGTAAGGAAGTGTTTGGCTATAAAATGGAATCTTCGCTGTCAAGGAAACTTGCTTTGTATCTTCGAAAACTTGCTGCCTGTAACAGCATCTCTGTTGCCATAGCAATACATCACTGAAAGTGGTGACATCACATTGAATTGCCATGGAAATGAAGATGCTCTCACAGAGAGTGGATTCCATCACCACTGTGTTGGGAGTCTGAAAGGAGGTTCTCTCTCCAAGATGCTTGCATTCCTCAAAACAGGGTTGGCTTTGGTTAGAATGCAGCAGTTAGTGGGCATTACAGCTTCAACCACTTAACGCTGCCTGGGTTCCCACCAAGCTATTTATACCACTTGTTTGTCTTTCTCAGCATATCTATTCATTTTTCCCATTGGAGCTACTGTAGAGACCCTAGAACTACAGCAGATTATTCTAATAATAAAAATTAAGATTGGCAAGGAAGACCAAAGAGGGGTGGCTGGTCAGTCTATTTTAAAAACTAAAGATTCATTTAGGGCTTAGCTGCAAAGAGACTCCTTCCCCTCCTTGACTGCTGGGCCCATGAAGCCTGTGGTCTGGACCCTGTTGATTGATGCCCCTGCAGTTTTCCCTATTACATCAACCTCAAGTGGTTCCTATCATGGGCAATGGGAAGGAAGAGTCCTTGGAATATTCCCAATTACTGCCCCTTGTGGCATGAAGTTGTTGCCTGAGTCCCCTTGCTAGATATCCAGGGACACTGGTCCCATGATCTTTACAAGGCCCAATAGAGAAACCCATGTTTTTCTCTTTCTAAACCAAATGGTCCACGAGGTCCCAGATTCTGTGGATGGAGTCTCTGTTTTCCTTCCAGAAAGGATCAGCAGAAACTAAGCATTGGATCTCTCTTTCCTCTGTTCATGGCTCTTCTTCTTACTTAAGAAAGGCCCTGTTGTAAGATCTGTGCTGTCATGAGATCTCACAGCTTGTGGGCACCAATTGGTAAGAGTTCAGCTGCTGGAGATGGCTGCTGGTCAGCTGGGCTGGACCCAAGCCTCTCTGGAGTGGTTTGGTCTGGCTTCCCTTCCTCTTTAAAAAGTTGAGGATGGGTTTAAATAATATGATGGAGCTAAAGCCTCTTCTCCCCCTCCCCAGCCCAGGCCCTTTTGTTGGGTCCTTGGATAGGCTAATTCCCCGATCCTCTGACCCTCCCCTGTACATAACTATCCACACAGCTGACTAAATGAATGCCTCTGAATGAATATCTCTTCATTTGGTCATGGGTGACATGTCCAGACTCCACTCATTATCAATCTCTATCTTCAAAGCCACCAGCAGTTGGTTTAGAATGGAAAACTTTTCTTACAGTCCCTGGGCAATGACCTTTGTTTTTACTTCAAATTCTCTTTTACTGTGTCTTGGCTTGAAAGCTAGGGGTAGGGTGTGAGTGTGTCTGTCTGAGTGAGGGGGTCAAGGAAGTCTGCATAAGATCAGAGGCTGTGGAGAATGAATCTGTCCAGTTTAATCTAGTTACATTTAAGGAACACTTACTGTGTTCCAGAGCTCTGGTGGCATATTGGTTAAAGCATTCAGGTGCTGACCAGAAGGTCAGTAGTTTGAACCCACCAGCTGATCCATGGAGAAAGATGAGGCAATCTACTTCTGCAAAGCTCTATAGCCTTGGAAAACCCTATGGGGCAATTCTACTCTGCCCTATAGGGTGGCTATGAGTTGAAATTGGCTTAATGGCAGTCAGTTTGTTTGTTTTTGGTTTGCTGTGTTTCAGAAAATGTGCCAAGCCCCATAGACAGACCATAAGGCAAATAAGACATGAACCCTATCTGAAAGGAGGGTAGAGCCAAGGGAGAAACCCAAAACCCACATCCAGACCCAGGGTGAGACTCTTTCTGCAAAATGCTTACAGTTGGTGGGCACTGCAGTTGTAGAACTTAAACTCAGTGCTGACAAATATCTTCCCTGTCTCCTTGGATCTCAGCTGCAGCTCTAGTGCAAACCAATCTGGAAAACAAAGGAGGAGGTGATAACCTAGGCGCCTAGTGAAGTGCATGAAAGCAAACCAATAAGCCACTCCAGGGGCTCTTCTGGGGCCTAGGGCTAGCTGAAACTTCATGAAGCCTCTCTTCTCCTCCCAAAACAATCCCATTGGCTTTGCAGATTACTTGCCAATCCCTCAGAACCAGGCAACCCCCACTCCTCCACCTCCAGGGATACAGTAACAAATCAGACCCCATAGGACCCATTGCCTTGGTCAGGTACAATACACTCAGTTACTGAAAGACTTTCAGAAATATTAGTCTAGAACCCCTCAAGTCTCCAGTTCTGTGCTGAGAACCCACTGACAACCGAGGCCATTCATTCTCATTTCCAGAAGGAAAGGGAGGTCTGGCAAGACTCTGCAGCCTTAACCCAAATGAGGGCAAGGGTTTTCCTGTTTCTTGAATTTCACTTTGGGGAACGACAGCTGGCTTTCAAACTCTAACAAATTATATAAGCCCTTACTAGTGTCCAACATAAGAAAACTCGGTTGGGCAACTTCTGGGTCTGCTATTTGTGACCCCGTCCCATGTTCTCTATTCTTGGCATCATGGTAAAGTAGCACATGACTCGCATGGCTGACACTTCTTACCTTGATCCAAAGGGATGACAGGGACGTCTTTGGGCCCAGGCGAGATGCAGATGACCTGGCTCCCGGACACCTGCCCCTCCACCTCCGTCAGATTCCCAAAGGCACAGGCGACTCCCGCAGACAAGTCGGGAGCATCACTCACAACAAGGCTGAGCTGTGGGAGGAGGAAAAAGGCTCAGGAGCAAAGGGATGAGGCATTAAAGAAGGAACCCTGGGGGCTCAGGAGAACTAAGTTCCAGTCCTTGCTCCATTACCTGATGACTCACTAATCTCCCATCTTCGTTTGTAAAAGAAGATGTCACACTATTCTAGGTGATCTCTGACATCCCACAATCACAGTGGCACTGTTACAGTGGTGTGTGCAGCATTACCACCACCAGTTGGCATCAAGTCAACTCTGACTCATGGCAACCCCATGTGTGTCAGAGTACAACTGTGCTCCACAGAAGTTTTCATAGGATTTCTCAGAAGTAGAGTGCCAGGCCTTTCTTCCAAGGTTGCCCCTGGGTGGACTCAAACCTCCAACCTTTTGGTTAGCAGCTGAGTGTGTTTACCATTTATACCACCCAGGGACTCCAGGCATATGCAGGGCCAATGCTATTTATTTAGTTTAAATTTTTCAGCCTCTGGTGGGGAGCAACACTAGAGGAAAAGGTACTAAAATTCTCCCCAGAGCCTGCTCATTTTGACATGACACATAGGAAAAATAATTGCAAAGCACCATACAAATCTGCAAACAAGCCATGAGCTGAGCCCTTCACACACTTTGGCTCATGGGGACTACATAGCACCAGTCTAGAGGTTTACCAGGTGTTCACCAGGTTGGTGGAAAAGAGCCAGTTTCTCACCTGGCCACCAGTCAGAGATTGCCTATCAGGTTGGTGGGTTTCTTACACTGTTTCTGCTTCTGTGTTCCTTTGGTACTTTCTGTTCACTAAGTAGCTGCTCCCTCTGGAGGGGGGGCAGTGTGTTCACTGGGAGGCTATGGGATTAGAGAAGGGCTGGGAAGTCGACACCAGGATTCAGATGATGTCTGCAGTTACCTGCGGGTTCCAATAACGTAGGCCAGTGGTGTCCAGCTTTTTTAAGTTTAAAGACCCCCCCCTTTTCAATGTCAAAAATATCACAGACTCACAGAATACTGTTGATAAAGAAAATATCCAATGGCAAAATGCTGCTTCGAATTCAGAGCACTTTTAAATGAATGTGTTTACAGTTACCACAATATAGACCTAATCAAAAACAAAAGAAACTCATTGCCATAGAGCTGGATCCAACTCATAGCAACCCCTCCTTGGGTTTCTGAGGCAGTATCACTATGGAAGGAGATTGCCCAACCTTCCTTCCTAAGTGGCATTTAAAAAGAAGCTCCGGTGGCTCAGTGGTTAAGCACTTGGCTACTAACCAAGAGGTTGGTGGTTCAAACTCACTAGCTATTCTGTGGGAGAAAGATGTGGCAGTCTGCATCTGCAAAGATTCAAAGCTTGGAAACCCTACAGGGCAGTTCTTCGTTGTCCTATAGGGTTGCTATGAGTCCTAATCAACTCAATGGTAATGGGGCTGGGAATTTAAAATAATAGGTATGAAATGTAACTGATTCCATCAGACACTGGGGAGAACATATGAAGGTTCATGGTGACAATAACTTTGTGGCCTCTGAGTTGGGACCCACTTATGTGGGTTTCCCTGCATAACTTCCTATTAACACCTGGCAATATTGATTTGCAGTGGGCTTCCCAGTCCTAATGAGTATTACAGTCTTCCCATACATTTGTTTGCCCCTGAATCCCCCCTGTTTTGTTTCCAGGAGGCCAAGACATATCCACACAAACTCTCGTGTTTATTCCTTAGCCCCATTGGAGTCAAAACTTCCTGGTGGTGATGAACCAAATCTGTGGAAAGTTCACTAATTAACATTTGTGAAAGCTCATAAAGCCTTTGGAATGAAATAGTGCAGGGCCTAAGGACATGAAATATTTTCGGTTGTATCTTGACAGGTGGTTAAGGAATATTTTATTCTCTTTAAGTCTCAGTCTCTCTCTCTCTCTCTCACACCCACACACCTACACTCACACACACACTAACATACACACAGAAACAGCTCTGCAGGTTTCCCTGAAGGGGTGTAGCAATTGGAGGATTGCAAACACAGCATATACCAAAGAATGTGTTATTTGGTATTGGATTGGATTACATCATAGATGTTTGTTACTTAATGCAAAATCCAAATTTACAGCATCAATCAATGGGTAATGAATTTGCAAGGAGTATGGAGAATGGCTGTGCCCTTTACAGTAAGAATTACTATAGGTTTTCTATAAATATAAAGTTTCCTTGGAACACATAAAGTCTAATCAATTTACAGATACTTGCGCACGTGTGCAAGGAACACACCCACATGTGTGTGTGCTGTGTGCTCCCGTTCCTTGCTGAGTTACTTACCAAGCGGCTGTGCTCAGACACCGAGATGCTACTGGGATGCACTGCGAGGCTCATGCACTCGCTGATGCTGGCAGCAAATCGATTAGGTTCCCGGGCCCGTTGGCACTTGTCTCTGCGGGAGCACCTGCCACAAACACAGATTCACAAGAGGTAAGGCCTCCGAGACCCATCTGTTTGGCTTCATTGCCTCTTGGGGCTAAGTAAGAGGGGTTTGTTCTCCTGATGCTCATTACAACTTTCACTGTGTCCCAATGGAGTTTGGTGACTCCCACAGATCATCTCTATTGCAGCTAAGGACAGACTAAGAGAAAATGGGCTTAATCCCATCAAGTTTATACAGAAATAATGTTGTTGGTAGGTGTCAAGTTGGACTCACATTGACCCCATGTGACAGAGCAGAACTGTCCCATAGGATTTTCCAGGTGTCAGAAGGAAAAATAGGCAATCTACTTCCATAGTGATACTGCCTCAAAAACCCATGGAGGGGTTGCTTTGAGTTGGACTGACTCGCCAGCAGTGAGTTTGGTTTGGTTTTGTAAACTCTGTAGGAGCAGGTCGCCAGGTCTTTCTCCCACGGAGGTGCTGGGTGAGTTCAAACTGCCAACCTTTAGGTAACTAGCTGAGTGCTTAACCCTTTGCGCCATCAGGGTTCCTTAATGCATAAAGAATAACCATTGACAAAGCAAGGGGTAGGATGCTCTGATGAGTGAATGAGGAAAGTTTAGGGAACTTGAGAAGTAGTCTAACAAGAGGCTAAGAATATGAACTTTGGGGCTAGGTTGCCTGTTGTAACCCCAGCTTATTAACTACTAGCTGTGTTCTCTTGGGCAAGTTACTTAATTGCTCTATGCCTCAGTTTCCTCAACTGTGAAATGGGGATGATGGTGATGACCACAACACCCTACCTTATGGGGTTGTTATGTAAAAATTAAATGAGTCAGTGCTTAGGCAATGGTTGGGCACATACTGGGTGCTCTATTTGTGTTAGCCCTTATACCACTACTACTACTACTAATGGTCAATATTATTATTCTCCTCCAGAGGAATTTAAAAGAACAAGAGTGGGTCTTAGCTGTGTGCGGACAGTGTGCATGTGATTTTGTGGCTGGATTAATGGCTCTTTGAAGGCAGGAGCTATGTTTTATTCATTGGGATATTCCACCTGTCACATGGTATATTTTAAGTAAGTGTTTGTGGTGTGAAATAATGCCTGGAGACAGAGACAGACAAGGAGTCGCTGCCAGGGCTGCCTCTGTCAGAAAGCTGTGTGGCTGTTTCTTCAACATCTTCATCTCTGGCTCTGGGTTCCTCCAGTCACCAAGGCAGGTGGGCATGGTGACACCTGCCCACAGGAGCGATTGACTGCTGCCTACCACATCACCCGGGACCAGGCTCCAGGGCTGGTCCTTCTCCAAACCAAATAGCCACCAGGGCATTAAGAGATGCCACAATCAAGCAGTGATTCCCATCCTGGCTTCCCCTAAAGTCCTCCCCCTTTTCCTTTCCAGGCACATAATGGATCTAAATATGAATGCTGTCAAAGAAAAGAATTATTGAGGTTTAAGTGAATCCTTAAGATAGCTCTAAAGTGAGCTCTTGACTGGAGCCTTTATCTCATTGACTCACTGAAATGGCTCTTTTTTATCATACTATTTATGGCAACAGCCCTAACAGAGATAAATAGCCTGGGAGACAATAACACACTTGCAAGAGCAAGGCCTACAGAAGAGACAGGAAGGTTTCAAATCCCCCCAGACCCACAGGCTCTTTAGCAATCTCCCTCAGCCCTCTGCCTCCAGTAATGACACACGTGTGGGCCTGGGAGCTGGAGTTGGGCCCATCTCTTCATTCCCCTGTTCCCAAAGCAGGCTGTCAGTGGTTGGTGGGAGGGCATTACAGGAGGGTCTGAGGAAGAGAATACCCTGAAGAGGAGAAACCTCTGGATATAAACAGGAAAAATCTTGCTTCCTATGTATTCTTGGTAGACAGAGCAGCTGGAAGGAGGGATGTGCCGTGGCAGGTAGAAGAATTCTCTGACACTGGGTAGGTAGGTAGTTCAGAGGACAGAGGATTTCTGGAACTATTCTGATGTGGGCTCAGTCATTCTAGGGAGCTCTGGTGGCGTAGTGCCTAAGGCATTTGATTGCCAACAAGAAGGCTGGCAGTTCAAATCCACCAGCCGATCCTTGGAAGGAAGGTTGGGCGATCTACTTCTGTAGAAATACTGCCTCGGAAACCCAAGAAGGGGTCCCTATGAGTCGGATCCAACTTGACGGCAGTGGGTTTGGTTTGGTTTGGTTTGGCAGACTTAGACCAGGTGGATGATGGGGGTGGTCCGGGGCAACTGGGAGACCTGGGGATTATTGGTAGATTGTGGTGCAATGCCTAAAGTATTTGACTGCTAACCAGAAGGTCAGAGGTTCAAACCCACCAGCTGCTCCACAGAGGGAAGATGGGGTAATCTACTTCCATAAAGATTTATAGCCTCAGAAACCCAAGGGGGGGGGTCACTATGAGTCAGAATTAACATGATGGCAGTGAGTTTTATAGGTGTTAATGAAGTTGAGGAAAGCAAATGTTCTTGATATTGAATAAATGAAATCATCCTAATCTATAATTTTATACTGTTGTACTTCTAGACATTTCTACCAGCACTGAAACTGGGAGGTATAGGGAGGAGTAGGGAGTGGGTGGTAGAGTTGGACATGATCACTGCAGAATGAATGTGCAGGTTGCTCTAGACACCCTTCATTGAGGAGATGGGGGCTATGAAGTTCTTTCCAAAACCAAACCAAACTCACTGCCATCGAGTCAATTCTGACTCATAGTGACCCCCTTTAGGTTTCCAAGGCAGTAAATCTTTACGGAAGTAGATTGCCCAGTCTTCCTTCCACAGAGTGGCTAGTGGGTCTGAACCTCCAACCTTCTGGTTAGCAGTCAAATGCCTTAGGCATTGTGCCACCAGAGTTCCTTGTGAGATTCATAAGAGGGAGCAATTCCTTTGAGGAGAGAACTGGCTGGCTGGTGGGAACCCAAATATACCCACTGTTGCCATTCCTGGGTTGCAATGTGGGTGGCAACAGCATCTTTACCACTTGTCTGGCCTAAACGGAGACCCACTTTCTGGGTTTTGCTAAGAGCATTTTCACAACACTTTCTGAGAAATCTTTTACCTTCAAACCCAAGTGGGAAACCCAGTGTTCATGGGCTCAAATCCAGTCCGGATTTTGCATCTGTGAGGCGCCTGCTTCCCTCCCTCCCTCCAGAGCCCTCTCAACACCTGCTGCAGAGGCTGGAAGCCAAGAGCTATTGTGCGGGACCCTGAACTCTGGCCCTCTGCCTCCGCCTCCACCCCAAGCCCAGCACATTTCATGGAGATGCGTTGCTGGCTGGCACGGAGCCATGGGGTTTCCAACTCCATTGGGCAACAGAATTCCTAGTCAGCTCCCTCCTTTCGGGTTTTCACCCTTTTTTTCTCCTTCTGGGGCTTCTCGAATTAGGAAGTTTAAGTGTGATTTTGCATTTCTATTGAGCTGGTAGTCAATGGCAGGCAATGTATCTGAATAGGGATGGAGGCCAGTTGGAGTGAGATGTGGACTTCTTGGAATCATAAAATAATGATGCCAGAAGGGTCCTCCCAAGGGTACAGAGCCCATAATTATTATTATTATTTGTGTCCTTTTCTGGGCTTCCTTATTGACAAAGCAGTTATTATTTCATTTAATTATCACACTTCACCTCTGAGAAAGGCATTATCCTTGTTTAGCGATGGGGAAACAGAGGCCCAGAGTCGTCAATGGATTCCTCCAGGGCTACACAGTAGCTAAGTGGAGTCCCAACCTCCTGATTCTAAGGCAGAACTGTCTGTAAACTCTGGGCAGGAAGTACTTAGGTTCTTGGGAAACCTAGAGATCTCCTAGTTTTCCTTGTGAGTTCTTCTAACTAACGATGCTAGCCTTCCCTATATTGACAAGGATGCAGACACATGACTTCAGAGCAGCTGGCAGGGCAGAATTTTGAAGTAAAATGAAAGCCAGAGAGGCAAAGGCTCTGTACCTGGAAAGAAGTCCTGCCCATGCCCTCTTGGCCTCTTCTTGACTTCAACTTTAGAACTCCTATTAAAATTTGCTCTGCTTTGGAAAGGGAAATTCCTCTTTTCCTGCAAACCACTGTCACATCCCACAGTAGCACTCCCAGAAAAGGACCCAGCCTTCTGTATTTTAGGTCCTTTTTCGGGACTTCCCAAACTTACATGTTGTGCAGGGCACACCAGCCACAGTGAGGGTCCCCCGAGCTCAGGCACTCCCCACAAGTTGTGTACTGTTCACATGATTCCACAGGGACTCTGGTGACCTAGCAGAGAGTAGAAAGAGAGCATGGTGAGATCAGGTTGTGACAGCTCAAAGACGTATGTTTAGGCTCACCTAAACCCCTAAGGAGGTGACACTGGGAGGCAAATCAGTGGCATCAGTGTTTTCAGCATAAGGGCAATAGGGCTTCTCAGAATGTACTGCTGAGGTGGCAAGCCAAAGGCATCTTGCCTTTGTCAGGAAAAACCAAAACCATTTGCCATTGAGTAAAATCCCGACTCACGGCAACCCTGTGTGCATCAGAGTAAAACTGTGCTTTATAGAGTTTTTAATAATTGATTTTTCAATTAGATTGCCAGGCCTTTCTACCGAGGCACCTCTAGTGGACTTGAACCTCCCATCTCTCAGTTAGTAACTGAGTGTGTTACTGTTTGTACCACCCAGGTGCTTCACTTTAGCCAGAAGTAGAAGCCAATCCTCCCATCTATTTTTGCCTGTCCCCAAAATCCTCCCAAGAGCTGGGCACACCAGTGGCAAGTGCTGAAAATGGTTAACTCTGTTGAAAGGCTGTTGAGTGGCATAAACTCATCTCTGAAGAGCTTTCAGCTGGACTTGGGCTGAGACATCCTGTGTACACAGAAAACATTTAACAGGGAAGAGAAGGAGAAACTTTTCCCATCTCATAATATTCATAGTATGGCACAGTCTCTTTATAGCCAAGCAAATATACCACCTGGATCCAATTATCTCATTCTCTGATGTCTGCATTCAGTTTCTCTAGTAAATCTCCCATCCTTTGAAAAGTCTGGCTAAATGGGAACATCTATGGAGACAAGCTGCCCATCTGATTCTGTCTTGCTGGGGAAAGTGGGAATTTGCAGTTCAGGACCTTGCCTCTCAGAGAGTGCAGCCCCTGCAAACTCCTCCTTGCTTCCTGGTGGGGCCCTGCAGGGAATTGAGCTCAGTCTGTTTGCACATGGCTCACTCCCACCTGCCTAGCGTGTGTGACAATAAAGGGCAGGCAAGGGGGTTGGAGGACTGAAGTCTTCCATTTGGTATGTCCTGGGTATGTGTTGCTCACTGGGGCAGGAGGCTGCTGGGCCACAAAAACATTTGTTTAGGTTGGGAATGGGTTCTCATTTGTTAGGCCATAGAGGTCCCCCACCTACTGGATCATGAGCTCTGGTGAAAACATAACCTGTGGTCCAGCAGTTTGATGTTCTGCCTCTAGCTAGGGGGTGGGGTGGGGCAAAGGATTTGATGGCAATGCCCTTCACAGCATCCTCCTAAGAGACTCAGGACGAATCTGAACACTATACATTCTGTAAATGTTTACCAGATGTTAACTATGTAAAGACACTAAAATATCACTATGCAATAGAGAAAAACAGGACACAGATCCCACCCTTACAGAGCCCACAGTCCAGTGGGAGTTGGTAATTACAAGCTGACAATTGTTCTAGTGTGCTGAGTGATCATTGCATAGGATTGATGTGAGCCCCAGAGGCCACCGACACTTAGAGGCAGCCAGCCCAGTACAACCTGTGGGGAAGAAGGAGCCAGAGGAGTGAGAGTGAGTTTTCAAGAGTAAGAGTGAGGCATGTGGCAGATGCAGAAATCAGGAAGGGCATTCCAAGCTGAGGGATTATCATAAGCTAAGGTAAGTGGGAGCTCTGGTAGCATAGTGGCTAAGACACTTGCCTGCTAACCAGACAGCTGGCGGTTCAAACCCACCAGCCACTCCCCGGAAGGAAGGTTGGGCAATCCTACTTCCGTAGTGATACTGCCTCGGAAACCCAAGGAGGGGTCGCTATGAGTCGGGGCCGACTCGACGGCACATAACAACAACAACAACAACAACAAGGTAAGCGTGGACAAAACCAAAACACTCATTTTGTTGAGATGATTCTGACTCATAATGACCTTATAGGATAGTATAGAACTACCCCATAGGGTTTACAAGTCTGTCAATCTTTACAGAAGCAGACTGCCACATCTCTCTCCCCCCGGTGGGTCTGAACTGCCAACCTTTCGGTTCACAGTTGAGTGCTTAATCACTGCACTATCAGGGCTCCTTAAGCATGGATAAGTTCAGTGTAACTTGAATGTCAAGTTGTACAAGAGATTGGGGTAGGGTGAGAGATGTAAGCAGGAGCCAGATCATGGAAGGTCTATGGTCAGCCCAAGGAGCCTGCCTTTTCTCTGTTGGGGGCTCCTTCTGATATGATATGATATTCACATCATAACATTTTATCAGTTTGCATTAGAAGGACTTTCTGTAAGTGAATGATATGATCCACTTTAAACATCCTTAACCTCTCTTTGTAGGAGCCATGGTGGCGCAGTGTTTAAGCACTCGACACTAACCAGAAGACAGGTAGTTCAAACCTACCAGCCACTTGAACCCACCAGCTGCTCCATGGGCGAAAGATGTAGCAGTCTGCTTCTGAAAGGATTGCAGTCTTGAAACCTGAAGGGGGCAGTTCCACTCTGCCCTATAGGACAGAGGTGGGTCAGATTTGACTCAGTGGCAATGGGTTTCTTTCTTTTCTTCTTCTTCTTTTGGAACTTTTCTTTAGTAATAAAAAATATGAAATGCAGGAAGGATAAGTATAAAATCTTACAATTTGGTTTAAAAAAATGAATATTTTAATTGTAGTTTGGGGGATAGTTGCTTTGAAATAGCTCACGTGTAACAGACCTCTGGGATTCTGAGCTGATTCTAAGTCCAGTATGAGCTGCAGGGTGATGCAATAGCTAAAGAGGCCTCATTTGGTCATGAGCTGTATATACAGACATGTAGTGTTGGGCTTGAGAGAACGCCCACCCCACACTGGGAGTTGCGAGCTTAGATCTTTGCAACATGCTATAAGAGGAGAGTTGTTCAACCAGACAGCCCTCCAGAAATGTGACCAGAAAGAGGAGGGACCAGATGCCATATCTGAGGTACAGTTGATGGACTTTGGAGGTCTATTTAGCCCAGAGGAGAGGAGTCTCAGGGTAGCCATGAAGATAGCTTCTCAATGTCTGAAGGGCAAAAGGACGACTGGGCAACCTACTTCTGTAGAAATATCACCTTGGACACCCAAGGAGGGGTTGCTATGAGTCAGAATCGACTTAGCAGCAATTTTTTTTTTTTTTTTTTTAAATGTGACTCCAATAGGACTCATGAGTGAATAGTTTCAGGAAAGTTCAATATAAGGAAGTTAGGGTTGTCCAACAATGCAACTGACCTCAGTTTGCAAAAGAATTCCCATCACTGGGGGCTTAAGCAGAGTCAAGGTGACTCTGTCAGGGTGGTTGTGGAAGGCTGCATTGTCGTTGTTTGTGTTGGTAGCTATTGTGCTGACTCCAACTCATGGTAACCCTGCGTATGTCTTTGTTTGCCAATGAGTCCATTCTGACTCATGCTGACCCCAGTAGGACTGTACTCAATAGGATTTCCGATGGCTGACAGTTTGGAAGTAGTTTGCCAGGCCTTTCTTCTTCTTCTTTTTAAAATTTTATTGTGGTTTATGTGCAGATTTACATGGTAGAATTTGTTTGACATTCAACAGTTCATGGACATTTGATTTTACGCCCTAATTACCATCCCCGACCATAACACACTCTCCTCCCCTCCCATCCCTGTAACCACCCCTTCCCTGTGCCCTTCTTAACTATGTACTCCTGTCTGTCCAGGATTCCCTCTATGTGAATGCTGTCCCTCTGGTGTCCTATGGCTGATTGCTCTAAGGGATGCATCTCCCTAGAATATGTGGGTGCATCACCCTGGGGTAGGTATTCTGCATGTAGGTCTTTCTGCTGTTGGGCTGAGAGCCAATCCATGGGAGTGAGTCCAATTCTAGGCCCAAAGGACAACCTGGGGCCATAGTCTTGAGGATTCCATTCCACCAGACTCTATCTGACATCAGGCCTTTCTTCTGAGGTACGTCTTGGTTGACTTGAGCCTACAACCTTCCCAGTGGCAGCTAAGTACATTAACTGACTCGATGCGTAACAGAACAAACTGCTGCATGGTGCTGTGCCATCTTCATAACCATTAGTATGTTTGAATCCAAGGCTGTATGGTTGACACTGTTGTATACTGTTGAGTCAAGGAGCCCTGGTGGTGCAGTGGCTATTGATTCTAACTCACATTGAGCCTATATGACAGCAGAACTGCTCCCATAGGATTTTGTAGGCTGTAATCTTTATGGGAGCAGATCACCAAGTCTTTTCTCCTGAGCGGCATGATGGGTTTGAACTGCTGACTTTTTGGATTACAGCTGAGTGCTTAAATATTGCACCACTAAAGTTCCCTCCTTTAGGGCTGCATTAGTTCCTTCCAATTCTAAAACTCTAGGATTTTGTTCACCATCATTTATCTCATTCCTCCTTGATTCTGTTTTTGATTTTTGTCCCATACAACCAGTATAGTTAAAAGACAATATCCAGCCATTTCACATCATTGGAAGGAGTGATCTTTGAGCCCTGACTCATTGCTTACATGCCTACAGGAAGCACCTTCTGACAGGTGCCGGCCAGGGGGCTCTCAGCGTGCCTCTCCCAGGCCTGGTGACTCAGCCCTTCAGGATATCTGTGACCTTAGCCGCCTGGTCTGTTTCCGCTGGCCCCCTCCATCCCACCCTCCGAGGCCTGAGAGCAGCAGTCCAGTGCCCGGACTCCCTTTCTTGGGTTTTGGGCTCCTTGTGAGTGATGTCTGCATCTGGCTGGAAATTAAAACAACTGTCTGCATTGCATTTGGCCCGTCTGTCAAAACACAGCCCGGCTCTCAGCAGCTGGGAAAGGGGGCCCTGAATGGGAGCAGTGTCTCCAGCAACAAAGCCCACTTTCACGCCAAGTGCCACGGAGATAGTGAGAACCCTGTTCTTCTCCAAACATGAAACCAATAGCACAACTATTTTCCCTGTTTCCTGGGCTCTCCTGGTGGGATTTTTTTTTTTTTTTTTTAATGCACTGAGTTGATGAGCAACGTGAAACAGGAAACTTATAAGAAGGAGGTGTTATAAAATTGAATAATCTCCTCAAAGATCCAATACC